TACTTTATTCTTGAACCAAAATGGTTTAAACTCACGACTTGCGATTGGATTAGGAACATACTCAACGAAGCAACTTGAATAGTAAATATCTAAGCGGAACTCTTGAGCTAAAATATCCGGATTCTTTTATTTGTTTATATTGTGTCCAATACACGTTTTCGTAAAGTACGATTTGATACTGCGGTACGAAGCCCGAGAAAACGCTCTTAGAGCGTCTAGTTTTACAGTAAATGTGGGAAGAAAATTTAGGGACTCAAGCTGGTGTCCGCTTATTAGAGGGTATCCGCTTAATATGGGGCCCGCTTAATACAGATTTGACTGTACTCCAGTCGAGGAACCAGTCGATCATTAACAACTCCATCTTCTTAGTCTTGTTCGCCCGATTTTTAGTACATGGCATTTTTGAACTTTCCATTCATCAAGTCTAACTCTGGTTAACATTTTAAAATTAAAACTTTTCTACTTGCTAACAGCACGTGTACACAAACAACTGCTAAAAACTCGTTCTACTGCTATACTCTTGAAAATGTCTGATTTCAGTTTGGACATGTTTTCATGGAGAGGCCGACACAAACACTGTCAAACAGTTTTACCGATACTCGTCCAAGTAATAAGGAAAACCCCAAGAGTGAAAAGTCTAAAAATCCCGATTCCGCCTTATGCATTTTTCCAACTGATTTCGCAAAATCTCAGGTTCAAACCGTTCAGTTCTTTCTCGACATCTACACCAAGCTGTAATTAGCAAGAGCACTGTTCACTCATCTCTCACGTTTACTTACCGTGGGCGTGCAATGGTTTCGAGAGTGCCACTGAAGCTCCAACGTTAATCAAGTGCAATGTCAGCTCATTTTGTCAATTAAAATCATTTAGTAACTTGAACGTAGATCAAATATTCGTCAAGCTGGATGATAATACTGCTGTGGGAATTCAAGATTTAACTAGTAAAAAAGTTTTAAAATACGTCTGACCACGTGGACAATAGAACAAAGCCAAATTTGCAGCTCTTTTCCCGACAACACCTTAGACTGGGCAACTATTAACCAAATTCCGTTTGACTCAATAATTGATGCATCGGGCAGAGTGGCTATTGTTCTCGCGACATTTATACTTGCAGCTCAAGAGATTCTAGATCTGTCATATTTCGCGTTATTATTCATGAACGATCAAACAGAACTCAGCTCATTGGTTGCTAAGAACGTATGCTATGCTCCATAGGGAATATCACACAGCTCATTATGCTAGAGTAGGCGGTACAGACAAACAATGAACAGCGGGTGCTATTGTTATCGCTTTTGATTTCAATTCATCATCATTATTCCTTGTGGCCCCCAGTGGGGCATGGGGCCGCTTGATTTCTATTGGATAAGTTTAAGAGGCTGTCTCTGCAAAAACCAACCACTGATTTTACTTCGAAAATTCGATTTTTCTCATAAGCTGGGATTTCGAAGCCCTTACCAAGTCAATCACTAAAATGAGTTTTATTTGATTAAAATTCTAATTGAAGTTTTGTAGGACTGATTTAAGTTCGGTCCGCTCGACACAAGTTGCATGCCTGCCCAAACTGGAAAAATAGCACATATTGCCGGCGCTCTAAAAAAA